AAAAAAGCTATTGATACTGGTTAAATAAGAAACTGAACTCCTGTTTATCAATATTCATACTATATCTGACCAAGGTCCTTTGAGGACAAACTTCAAGGATGGAATATGAAAGAAGAAATAGGCTTAGGATGATATGTTAAAATAAAAAAAAAACAATTGGACATGAAATTCATCCAGATTTCAGTTATAATTTCAGTGCTTCCTTTAATTATCTTCACTGTCTTTCGTAAATTAACCAACCTCTTGAAGCCCAATTCCCTCAGCTTTAAAATTTTTAATAATAATCCCTATCTTGAAGAGTTATTATGAAGATAAAATTTAATGTAGGTGCCTGCTTAAAACATAATAGGTCATCATAACCTACAATTTTGTACAATTAATATGCACCAATTAAAAAAATAGTGGGTATTAGCTCTCCTCTCCTGTACCTTCCAGTGTCTCCTCTACTTCCCACATCTATGAATGACTGGTAGAAAATGAAAGGCAAAGTCAACTCACCATTTATCCATTTATAACATGATCTCAAGCTGAAAAACTGAATGCATTTGCCTCTCTTAGCAACTCATATCTTTATTCATATGATCTCATTGTCTGCTCTGAGCTTAAGCTCCTTCCGTATTCCATCTTGTTCCTCCTCTTTCTCCTAACAAGGATTATCATTTATCATTCCTTCTCCATCCTATACACCCAAGTATCTTGCCGACAGAGATTCTGTTCTTATTTATTGCTATAGTTTAGACCTTGACTCTACCCCAGAGGCCATGTTTTAAAGGCTTAGTGCCCAGGGTAGTACTCGTGGAAGGTTGTGGAACCTTTGGTAGGTGGTACCTAATTGGGAGATTGGTCCTTAGATTATTGGGGCATGTCCTTGATGGGAATTGTAGAACTACAGTCTCTTCTTTCTCTTCAGCTTCCTAGCCATGAGGCAGGTAGTTTCTTCCACAACATATTCCTGTCATTGTATCCAGTACCCCCACCAGAGGCCTAAAGCAACAAATCTGGCCAATCTTGGACTGGATCCTCCAAAACTGTGAGCCAAAATAAACCTTTTCTCTTTATAACTTTATTGTTTCAGGTGTTTCCTTAACGTGACAGAAAACTGACTAATACACTGACTTAAACTTATTCTGATTATGTTAATTTAAATTATACCATTTCAGCCAATTTGATTCATAGCATTTATGTTAGATAATCTCTCATTTCTTCCTATTTTAATAAAATACATTTACCTCTTGGATCAGTAAGACTGCTTACTAGGCACCTAGTAAAAGGATCCAAAATAAGGTGCATTGCAAATTGTAAATTATTACTTTGATAAGCTGTAAGACTGGGTGACCTTGCCTGTACTAAATGGTACGTGTCTACTAATAATTAAAAAGAATTTGGATGAGTTTTTATACATTCTTGTAAGTGACATAGAGATCTGGGATTTCATAGGGCTGGAAAGATTCCAAGATTCCCAGATGAAGTTCAGTTCCTCACACCCTTCCTACCTCCACTCAAGTTTTTCTGACCCTTTCTATTCAGTAGGTTCTCCTCTACCACAAGAGGTCATGCTTGCATCTATTTTTATAGTGTTCTGTAAACACAGACTTATTTTTTTTTCTCCTTCTCTTCACCTACATTTATATAGAATGCCTTGGTTAAGTTGGTACATTAACCTTAGAACAAACCAACTCGTGGCTCAATTAGACTATCTAGCACCACATTCATCTCTGTCTTGGGCTTGAAATATGACTTTTATTCTGGGTGTCTCTGGGCTTTCTGAAAGTTATAATTGTGAATTTTCAGAAAACTTAAGCATTTGGGGATTATGGCTTCCTCTATGGTACCATGATGGATGATATATTGGGTTCATCTTATAGAGTGGGCACCTCTATGAGGTCATTGTTTGGAGGATCAAGTAAGGAAATCGGGCAAGAAGAAATATTGACCTTCTCATTCTATTTGAGAATCTGATTTTGAAATTCCAAATTTATTATAAAAGATGAAAAGGGGATTCAACTACTTTAATTTCCCCACTTTGAAAGAGAGAAAGCATTACAGTCAGTGTTCCAGGAACAGTCAGTGAGAATACTATTGAAAATTATAACAGGAAAATTACTGATGGAATATAATACATTGTTTCTGAGAGGTCTCCCTGGTTTTAGAATGCAGATCATAGGATGGAAAATCTCCAAGGGCATTTCCATCTCTAAAATTTTCTTATTTTATGAATCCATAATATAAAATTATGGCCATCTCAGGAGCATCTGGAAGCATAAGTAGAGAGATTTTGTTCTAGGCTTCAGAGTCAGACAGAGTAGTAAGAATCCCAGGTCTATCATTTACTGCCTATGAAACTTGGGAGAAAATATCAGTCCCATCAAACCTCCGTCTCTTGATAAATTAGGGATGGGAAGGACTACTTTGCTAGACTGGAATGAGAACTAGATTATAACATAAACAGTATAATATTCCAGCTATGAAGCTACTCTTTCAGCTTCAGACCCAAGTTTTTTGTCTGATATAAGTATTTGTTACCCTTGATCTCTTCATTTATTCCAGGATAAATCAAATTTTTCTTCTGACAAAAAAAAAAAGAAAAGAAAAATAGAACATCCATAACATGGATCAAGCTCTTTCCTTGCCAAATTTAGAGTAGAATCTTTGTAAAAACCAGAGAAGTCTCTTCAAATTACAAACTCATAAAATTCATGCATTACATAAAATTCCTTACAGCAGCAATAACTCCTCTGCAAGAATAACCATATTCAATGAGTTATTTGATAATCATATCACTTCCTGTTCCTGAATCCTTCCATGATTTCTCATTAGCATTAGAATGCATTTATTTATTGTGTATTTAGTTAATATCATAGAAGAGAACTTTTATTTCCTTTCCTTATCTACAAATCTAGCCTTGTCTGATACAATCAGCTCAGCTGTTTTCTAGTAGCTGTTTGCCTTAAGGCAAGTTATGGCTCTTTTAAGAAATGGAATATTTAATATGTGCTGTATGCCCTGTGCTATATGCTTTTTCATGCATTATCTTACTTAATGCCCTTTGAGGTAGACACTAGTATCTTCCCCACTTTACATATGTCAAACTCAGTTCCACATAAAAATACTCATCATAAAGGGGGCTGTGAGGTGAATGATCATACTGAGAAATCACAGTTCACCACTAAGTGAAATAAGACAAACAGAAAGATAGCACTTGTTCTCACCACTCAATTGAACTCATGGAAGCTGGAAGCTGAGTGGTCCTTACCAGAGGCCGAGGAGGTGGCAGGAATAGGGAGATGATAATCAAACTGTACAAAAACTTCAGTTAGATAAAAGGAATAAGTTTAAGGGTTGTTTTTTAGGTTTATTGCATATGTGGTGAATATTGCTAATAACCTAGTACTGTACATTTCAATATCAATAAGAGAATAAATCTCAAATGTTCTCATCCCAAAATTGTCAGATATTCCAAGTGATGGATAGGTTAATTAACTTGATTTAATCATTCCACAATGTATTAAGAAATCATAATATCACTTTGCATCCCATAGTAATACATCTATAAATCTGTCAATATCTGGTAAAAAAAAAAAAGAAAATGCAAATTAAAACAACGAGAGATACCATTAAAATTCCAACAGGATAGGCTATGATAAATAAGACTAACGATACCAACTGTCAAAGATACAGAGAAACTGCAATCCTCATGTGCAGCTGTGGAAATAATCAATGGCACAGCCAATCTGGAAATCTGATAAAACTTTAAAATTTAAATATACACTTAGTAATTTCCCTCCTACTTATCTACCCAAAAAACTGGAAGCAATGCAAATATCCATCAGTGGTGAATGGATAAACAGAGTGTAAGGTAGCCAGACAATGGGACACTCCTCTGTGATATAAAGGAACAAATAGCTTGCTCTGCTCCCTCAGAAGCTGGGAACCTTTCTTAGGGCTTGCATGTTCTGGTAACTAATGAACAAACAGATTTTCTTATTTCCTATCTCAAGGCTCTACAAATCATCCCCTCCTCAGGTTTTCCAGTCGACACAGAATCATTAAGGCTCCACTGAGTGAGGATTAGATCAGGGGCTAAAAGAGGATGTAGCAGGCCTAATCCCCTCTTTAGGAAGCTCACATTTTAGGGGGTTATGAGTAGAAATCAAAACATCTGTGAAATGTACATATTAACACTGTAAAAAAGTAGTCTATTCTCCCCTCCTCCTTTATTCTGTAGTCTACATAAAAATTTTATTCTCATTGGCTATCCTATAAATATTCCCTGAACTATGTATGAATTGCCCAATATCTGCCCTGCAACTTTTCCACCCGTATGTTTCCAAACAGATCTAATTTGGTCATAATTTTCTTACCAAAAAAAAAAAAGAAAGAAAGTAAGTCAGTCAGTCAGTAAGTCTGGAATTGCATCATTGTCATAGACTTGAATCATAGTCCAAAACCATTTCCAATGGTCAGGAATAAGTCTCTGTGATAGTAATTGGGCTTTGTTCATATTTGTACTTAGTATAACAATACTCATCTTCGTATCATTTAAAATTAGAATTTGGTATTTCTTAGTACTTCGTGTTTAGCCTTAACTCTTGACTAATATTGAATAGAAGGCTTGTCTAGGAAGTGAAGAGGTTAATATTAAATGGAAAAACTAATTCCCTAAGAATCCAACAAGATTTTCCAATAGGCACATTTGCAAATTCTTCCTTTGTTCTTTTCCAAAGCCAGAGATAAGAATATTTACTTCAAGTCTTTGAACTCTCAGCTCACCTTCATTCTGTAGCCTGTATTCCCATTTAATCATATTACCATATTTATCAAACTTATTCACATTTTACAAATACTTTCCCCACTTTTTTTTCTTTTTTATACAGGAGGTATGGATATTTCTTTTAAAACATCTTGTCAGACCTGGTTAAAGAGGCCTTGGAGTTTCAAAAAAATAAATAAATAAGGAAAAATTTGTTTCCCTTCCACTATGGTTGTGTGGAGACACTTACATTGAAGTCGTACAACACACCAAAGTTGGCTGCAGATGCCTCTTCAGCTCTTGGGACTGTTTTCCTAGGTAAACTTCCATATGGCAAACCCCAGAGGTACTAATGAAGAAGCAAAAAAAAAAAAAAAAAAAGCAATTAACAATTGGAAACAGAATCTGAGCCACACATGTGATCACAAATGGTTTTGTTTAAAATCATTCCAAAAACTTTTTCATGGGGACTCTGTGGTTCTCCATGTGGGGTCCCATTTTCTGGGAATGAACTAGATCCAGAGTTAAGAACAAAGGAAGCTCTAAGGACCCTACAGTCTGGGTTCAGTATACCAGAAGCAGGGTGGGCAACCACAGCTCCAGGCAGCTTTCTGAGAAGCCCCTCCACCACCTCCAAAGTGGTCTAATTTAGAGGAGGTCTGAAAAGTAGTGAAGAAGCCTTTGGGGACACTGTTGCATTCAACAAAACTACCCACATCTCCAAGTGAGAATGTCCCTTAGGAGTGGGAGTGGAGGAAGGATCTCTCCCTCATGAAGCCTCAAAATAATCAGTTATGTAATTTGAGGGTACCCACCAGGAGGAACACTTGCACCCTGCTTATAGTATCTGCACCATGCCTGATTCAGGGTAGCTGCCTTGAATCTGTGCTACTAAACTAGGAGACAAGCACATTAGTGTAGAATAGTCCTGGGGAGCAATCAATCAGGGACAGGGCAAGAAAAGGGTCCTGATGAGAACTGGCAAAAGCACCCTCAGGCCTGCCAAACTCGAATTCCACCTTATGAGAAAGGGAATCTTCCCTCTCCTTGAGCTGGGGTCAGAGAAGGGATGTGGTTTGAAGTCTCTGAGTGCAGAACTTGATGGGTAAGGGTAGGAAATTAGTCCCTCCTCATTCTCTCTGAACAAGCAGCATATCTTTCCCTAAAGCCCTTGGTCTTTTGGGGCGTCCTGGTTTGAACAGAATAGAAAGTACTTTCTACCTCTACCATTTCACCCCAACGTTGAGAGGCACAGAGAACACAGGCAATTAAGTATCAGGTTTGACCAGGGACACAGAAGTTTGGGACAAAAGGGAACAATTCTCAAGAGAGATGCTGAATGAGGCTGTTGGGTAAAGGCAGACAAAAAGTATAGTCATGTTGCCCAGAGATGCTTGGCCCTGGTCTCTAGTGGTTCTGTAAAATTAACATGCAGCAAGCTCATTCTCTTCCATTCTTAGGCAGAAGTTGCTGATCGCTGCCCAGAATACAGGACGCTTCTCAGCATCTATCATAAACCTATGAAAAAGCATGCAATATTCCCCGGCTCTCAAGGCACATGCCATTGAACACATATTTATCCATCTGTTAGAGAATGGGTGTTGGGCAATTTCATAGAGTTCATGTGATCTAGTGACAGCCTTTTATTTCCTCTACATGGAAGCAGGGTAGTATTGGGAAAAGAGCAATCAGACTCCATTTATACCTGCCTCTGACACTAAGTAATGCTATTGTAGGTAGTAATGGAATGGAGGAATTTCAGGTTCCTTAGAGAGAAGAGCAAAATCAAAGCTAGGATTATTTTGAAATAGATGAAATACACATTCTATTGCATTGCTTGAGTTTTCACTTGGGAAACAAAGTAAACGGGACTTTTAATTTACATCCACTGTCTTCTATGAGCCAGACAGCATTACAAGCTCCAGAAATATCACAGGGATTATAAGACTAGTTAATTAAAATGCAGTCTGGGGACAAAAAGCAGAATCATGGGTCCCAGTTCTAGGACAGATTGATAAATATATATAAATTAATAATTCTGGAACATTAGCTAAGTCATCTAACCATTATTTAACTTGGTTTCACGTGTTCTAAGAGAGGGATGAAAAACTCTTCTATAGTTTACCTCCTAAATTTGTTGTGAGCCTCAGTATGTAAAGGAAGTGAAAGTGCTTTGCACTATTACAAGCTACATAAAGATGTACTCATCTTTGTCACGAGCCATCCCTGGGCTATGTGTGAACTGTCAAGTATATCGCAACCTAACTGAATAGGAAAATCCCGTGTCTGGTAACTTCCAGTGGACACTTCCTCTGGTTGACTGCCCAGAGACATTGTGAGCCCTATTTAAGCTCTGCCAGGTCCCACACAGCACTGGAGAAGGGGTGACCCACTGAACCTGCACAGCTCCTCTGAGATGCATGTGACCTGCCAAGATGCCAATCAACCTGCTGACTACAAGACATTAAAGCAAGACTCCACCCTTGAAACCTTACCCCTGCCTTTGGTGTAGACTGGATCTATCAGGGGCACCATTTTCAAGGTTAACCTTGTTACAAATCCTATGGGCATAAGTGAATATCTCAAGAAAAAGAGGGGGAGAAATAAAAATAAGGGAACATAGCAGTTAGTCATTCTATTCACAAAAAGAGAGATAAAAGCTTTTCTAGGAGAACTATCACATAAGAGTCTTTCATTAGTATGTTTTGTAAACTGGAAGTCATATCTCACCTCTGGCAACATGATCAGGCTGAATGTCAGGATAAAAAGAACCATATTTACTCCGTACATCCATCTCAAGAAAAGGAAGTAGGAGGCCACTGATGAGCCAAACTGACCTATTTTCAAAGAAAATAAAAATGTTGAATGGGAAGTCAAAGTAAAATAAAGTAAATGCTCTTTCTTGTCCAAAGTAAATCTGCAAACTGAAACACATTGGCCCTTTCACATTTATAAGCTGTAACATTCTTCTTTCTCCAGTAAGAGAGCATGATAATCATGATGGACGTGCTTCCTGTGGTGTAGACTGGAGGAGGTGTGAACGATGTACTGTGCGTACACCTTTAGGGTCCAGCAGAGGGAAAGCTACCTTTTGCTTACCAATAGTGATTGGTACCTGCAGGGCTGATTTTACTCCTTCAGTTAATACAGGTAAGTAAGAAAATATATATAAAAATTGGTGAGGACATTTCCTAGCCTGTCATTTGTTATAATTATAGCCTCTATAATCCTTGTAGCTTACTCCTCTTCTTTTCAGGCAAACAATGACCTTCTCAGAAAAAGTTCCCCACATCCCTATGAGTGGTCATCATGTAGACTATTCTGAACAATTGCCCCTCACTATACTGGCAGGAGTGAAGCTGAAATATACTCCATACATCTTTACTAAGTATTTCCTTTCAGGACTTATTGAAAATGTGAAGCACACGGTCATAAACCAGTTGCTGCTCTGAGAACTTCATTTTAGTGAGGTGTGGAAGGAGCAACTATTTTATATATGTGTGTATATACACATAGATGAAGATTATCTGTGTATATAGATATATATATATAATACTTATAGTCAGCTAGGACCTGCAGAAAGTCCTGCAAGTATTGAGAAGGGATGCTTCAGGTTGTTTTGTGAAGGAAAACATATTAAGAAAGAGAACAGAGCGAAGAACTGAGGAAGAGACCACAACACAGAGAGCTGGACAAGAACAAAAACAAGAGAGGCAAGAGCTTGGGACAATTAAGGAACAAAACTAAGGCCTGTGTGGCTGGAGTACAATGAATGAAGGAAAACTGTGACAGATGGAATTGAAGGGAGGCCAAACCACATTGTGTAGGACCTGCTAAGGCAATATAAGAAGTGAGGATCTCATTTAAAATGTGATGAGAAGTCACTGACAGGAGTTAAGTAGTGGGCAAGGAGGAGTGGGCATAGGCATGATATTTAAAAACAAACAAACAAAAAACACAGTTGGGGAATAAACTGAAGAACAACCGGCAAGAATGTTTTGTCAACTCACACTCGTCCAAAACTGAAAAGTAAAGCAGTCTGTCCAATTCTTACTGGGGAAATAAAACAAATAAATAAAATCATCCTCTTAAAGCTGAGAATGAAAGAAGAAACAAGAATAGGAATTTTAAGTCTCAGGTAGAGGTACAAAAGCCAAAATTGTCTTGAGGATCACTTTTAAGGTTTCCTCAAGCTGCTAGCTTTTCCAATCTTTCCAATTACCATTTCCAGACCCAAGAAAAAACAATGAACAGCCTCAGCCACCCCCTCACGCCCCCTTGTCCTGTTTCATTCAGTAAATCCCCTGCAAGGACCCACATTTATCTTCATCCCTCTGGTATTGAAACATGTCTAGTGGGGCAGCATCATCACAGGAGAAGGAAGGTTTGTGTGGCCTAATGTTTTAGTCAACTTTTTCACTGGTGTGACCAAAAGACCTCACAAGAACAATTTTAGAGGAGGAGAAGTTTATTTGGTGCTCATGGTTCCAGAAGTCTCAGTCCACAGATAGCAGCTCCTTTGCTCTGAGCCCAAGGTGAGACAGAACATCATGAATGATCAGTTCATGGCCACCAGGGAGCAGAGAGAGCGCTGCTTACCAGGAACAAAATATATACCCCAAAGGTCCATTCCCAGTGATCTACCTCCTCCAGCCACTCCCTCCCTACCTACAGCTATCACCCAATTAATCCATTCAAGTGAATCGATGAATTGATTAGGCTAAGGTTCTCATAACTCAAGCATTTTACCTCTAAACTTTCTTGCATTGTCGCACACATGAACTTTTGAGGAACATCACATAACTGAACCACAACAACTCACATGAATTACACTTCCACATCTGGAACTTAGTTTGTAGGTGCCATTTTACTTTTTCCCATAGTATAGTAGCAGGTTTTTTTTAGAAACTTACAAAGAGTTTAATCTTTAAATGGACATTTTAGAAGAAACCTATGATTTTGAAGTATTTGTTTTTCTTTAAGATAAAAAGAGATGTTTCATTCTTTTCACATTATAGAGGGGTATAATATTTGATAAGAATTCTAAGAGTATATAGTTTTGATACACCTCTGCCTCCAGATGCTGCAACCATGTGCACTGGTCCCTCTTCAAAAATTCTGAAGCAAACTTGACCTTCCTAGGATATCTGATTGTACCTCTGGCTCCCAGTGAACTCATATCATTTCATGGCTATTAGCTATGTTCTCTGGTAACCACTACCCTAGGACTACTCAGCCAGGCTTACTCCCTTATGTCTTTTTGAAAGCTGAGGACTTCCAATCTGTCAGTCATTACAGTTACATTACTCATTGACTGGAGAAGAATCTCCATCTCTTGTAGCTAGAGCATTTTTCTCTGGAAATATGTAAGATCTTTTGGTACAGAGTTGCAATTACAGGACATGAATCTTTCATTATTTATTTTATTCCTTCCTTATTCCCCTTCCTCCCTCCCTTTCTTCCTTCCTTCTCTTCCCTCCATCCTTTCTCTTTTTTTCCTTCTTTTTTTTCCTTCCTTCCCTCCATCCTCTCCCTTTTTTCTGTTCCCTCCTTCCTTTCTTCCTTTGCTCTCTAAATATCACTCTCTCAGAACTCATTACACAATCACTGGCAAGTGAGTTTCTTTGAGCACCTATTTTAAACATACTTAATGATAAATACAGAAGTAAATGTCTTCTACTTTACAGAAGAAGATGTTTCAGGAAATATCCCCTCCTCCAACACACATATTCATTATGGAAAAAAATACACTTCAGAGTCCAAAGCCTCCAACCATCAGTTTTAGGGATAGAAAATGGCTTCATAACTATTTTGTTTAAAGGTAGATCCTTTACAGAATCCTAAGTGTGAAGAAAATGAATCGCAATAAAACAAATTTCATTAAAACTAAAATGATTTTATGAACAATGCAGACACAAGTCAAAGAGACTGAGAAGTCCAGAAGACAATGCTTCTTCTACATTCAACCAACAAGTGGCCGAGGGATAAGAACAACAACAAGACAAAGATGAGGGAAAATAAATCATGGTTGATGTCAAAGTTTCATAGGACCTCTTCCCACCTCAACACAAAGGGAAAAAAAAAAAGTCTTCCCAATTAATTCACATTTATTCTAGCACTTCTATCCTACCAGAGGTTATTAATAAAAACTGATGTTCCCTAAAAAGAAAAACCTTATATAGTGTGGCTGATAGAGCATGAATAAAAAGAATAACCATTTGCACATGCTCAATTCTGAGATAAAAACTGATTTGTTCTCGCAAAGAAAAAAAATGGGTATATAATAGTTTTATCTTGATGGCCAAATAAGTGCACTAAAATCCTTGTCAGCATCTCTTCATTTAATGCCATTGGAACCTGATGAGGTTAAGTATTTTTAATCCTACTATATTGGTCACAAAACAAAAACTTAAACACAGCAGTTAATTGAACCAAGATTTGATTAATAATAATTTACATTTAACAAATCTTTGTTTCAGGGACCTATTTTATCTCCATGTATTCACTTATTTAATCATCATCAAGTCCCTCCCTATGAAGTGAAAACTATTGCACTCCCATTTTGTAGAGACTTGGGCCACTTGGTTGCATAGGTAGTCAACAATGGAGCCAGGGTTCTGAGCCAGATGGTCTTCATCTACAAGTTTTTGACTCCACATCTACAAGGGTTTGATCTCTCTTATCACAATATTATGGCCCCTATAAGTATAACTCTAGTTAAATTTTTTTAAATATGATGTAGAATGTGCATTTCTGACAGAAGAGCTAGCTACAGCTAATATCCATCAATCAACTAAGACTATTCAAATTCACAAAAGAAAATGAATTTCTTTGAATGGTGTTCATAAAGGACCAATTTTTTTCTTTAGCCCAACTGATAAATGATGCTTTCATAGTAAATTATTAATGTATTAAAAGAGTCTTTGATATGTATTAAAGTGAGAAATAAGTTTATGCATATTCTTGCTCATGAATTTCTTGTTTCCTTGGTAAAAGCTTCACCTCTCCCTCTGGTTATTTATTATTTAGGCAAAGTAATTTGTAGTCTGTCATCATATATAATTTTCTCTTGAACAGATGGGTAATAAGACAAGCAGATAAATATGAGCATATCTAAATGGGAAAAGGCCAATTAAATGAACTACTGTATGAGTAAAACATAAATATCATTTTCTTAGGATCGGATATGAAGCACATTTTTTCAAATGAGTCTGGGGTAGAGAACTAAATTTGACAAATTTGATTTGTATTTTCTAGAGTCCTTGGGCCAGTAGAGAAACACAAAGTTTAAATTCTGTTCTCTGGTTTGTCTATCGGAAGCTATTTCTAGTCTAGGAAATAAATCTGTCATACCCTATTTCTGATGCTATGATCTACTATTGATTCTGAGAAAAATTTATAATCTCCAATTTGAAAACATTCAGTTATGATTTTAGTAGTCACGTCAACATCAGGGTGGGTATGGATTATATTTTCATGCAGGTTTGTCAGTAAAATAAGCAAGCAATGTGGTTAATAATGTGGACGGTAGAGGGTTTTTAGGCATTGTCTGGGATTTTAGGCATTGTCTCATTTTCAAGGCTGGCTGGTAGCACCCATGGCATTCCTGTGTGATATAGAACTTCACAGCATCCTCTGTGGCAGGAATTATCAAATCAATGTTTAAGTGAAAAAAAAAAAGTTTAGAGTCAACAAGTGAGTGCCTTGTCCGTGATTATAAAGAAATCCAGGTCTTACTGCAATCAAGATGGTAACAGCATGAGTTCCAGTCTAATTTGAATTCCTCTCTTGATTCTACCATATATGGGTCAGGGGAACTCATCGAAGGTTGGTCATGTGGGTCTCCATTAAAAGTCATATTTAAAAATATTTGCTAAGTATTTATTTAGAGAGTGAGAGCAGGTGGATTAGAAATATTGATGGAAGTAGAAGGCAACTTCTCCTTCAAACTTGCCACTTCTTGAAATCCTTAATCATCTTCACTGTTTATTTACATTTTATGATCTGTCATTACATATATTAACATATATTAACATATTTGATGTGAGATCAATGAAGGTAGAGTATTTGCTAACCTTTGTCAGTAGTGATAGTATCTGGGAACACCTCAGACATGGTAGGCTTTTCATTAGGATGTGATGAATTATTCAATAATGTCAAACTTATTCTGAAAACTAAAAGAGATTGTTATGGTTTTAATGTGGTGTCCCCCCAAAGCTCACGTCTGAAACAATGCAAGAGGGTTTGAAGGAGAAATGATTGGGTTATAGTCTTGGCCTAATCAGTGAATTAATCTCTGATGGGATTAACTGAAGTGGCTGGGTGTAGCTGCAGGAGGTGGGAATTGGGGCATGGCTTTGGGTATATATTTGTATCTAGAGAGTGGAATCATCTTTCTTTGCCTCATGGTCACCTTGATGTAAGCTGCTTTCCTCTGCCACCCTCTCTGTGATGTTCAGTCTTACCTCAAACCCTGAGGAATGGAGTCAGCCTTCCATGGACTAAAACCTCTGAAACTGTGAGCCCTCAAATAAAGTTTTCCTCCTCTATAATTGTGCTAGTCGGGTCCTTCAGTCACAGCAACGAAAAAGTTGACTAAAACAGAGATATTATATATTACTGACACCTAAAAGGAATTAATAATATTTCTGAAGCTTTTCTATGATTAAATGGTCATTTATTTTTAGAGAAAAACATTTATATTAGTTTTACAATTAAATACATGTTTTATAATCAAGGTAGATATTCAATCAACTTTATTCTCAAATTCAAAGAATCTGAGAAGATAATTAAACAGACATCTATTAGTAAAATTTGTGTTTCATTTATATTTTTTTACTAATTTATCACTCAGAAGTATAAAGATATTTTAATGCCTAACTATACATCTAAAACTGATTGTATACTCTACATCATGGAATACTGGGCTGAAACAGACCTTGCATAGTAAGTAATCAAACCCCAGATTTTACATGAAACCCTGAATACAGAAATTGAGGGCCAGAGATGAAAAAGATTGTCCAAAGTATAAGACCAATGGAACAAAAAGTCCTCAACCCCATTTCTTCTAATTTTCCATTCAGTTGAGCTTCAAAGTCCAATCACAGATATACACTTTCCCTAGCTTTGGTAGACACTTTCTAAGAGATACTTGGGGATTCTAGTAACATAATCTTCATTAAATTTTATACTTTCTGACTGATGCAATAGTTCAAAAGCATATGATCTGCTTATGACTAACACTAATATCTTAGTACATCTTATATCATGAAATATAATGAAATAATTCATTCAAAAGTAAAATCATGAGAAGATGCAAATTAATTCCCCAAGTAGGGTAACTATCAAGGAAATCTGTAACTATTTATCCTGTTATTGACCTGGTAAAATCCTCTCTAGTAACTGGTACAAAACATATTTTAAAAAGAAAAAAAAAAAAGCTTATAAAATTTCCCTCAAAGGAAAAAAACTTCATAGACTTGAACCTTGACATACTTTGCCTTCTCCCTCTCCTCTGCAACTCACTAATTCCAAGACAGTTATTTAACTGCAGCTATATAATAGGAAAGTTAGTGTGCACACTGATGGCATAAGGAAGATTAGAAAAAAGAATGTTTTTAGAGTGTCTGACTCATACTGATACTTGGTGTTTCTGGTGATGGTTGACAGAATAGAAAAATAAGGTTTGACTCTTCACATTGGAGGAAAAACATCATAAACAGTGACAAAGTCAACCTAAGCAAGTAATAAATTACACATAAAAAGAAAAAAAGTATACATTTGCTTAATTGCTTGTCCAGCTTGACTTTTGCATGTTCGGTGGAGGAAAATGGAAGAGAGATGATAATTGAAGGAACTATTGAGTATTTCTCAATGTCTTTTCTACTGACACTCATAATAGATAATGAACATATGTAACACATTCCTGTTTGCATCTTTGGTCAATAAAATAATCCCATCTGTTTCTATCCCACACTAGATAGGCTACTGAAACAAATGAGCAGAACTCATTATCAGAATGGGCTGGAATCTGGTTTAGTGTGCTTTAAGACTAAATAATTTTCAAAGTATGCTTTTTGACTATACGTAAAAATTATAAATTCCTCAGGATATATCTCATAACTGATTGAAATTCAAACCTATCATTTCATAAATCAGTAGACTAAGGCCTAGAAGGACTAAATATCTAGATCAAAGTTGAACAGCTAATCTGTGGCAAGGCAAGGACCAAATCTGGAGTTCTTGACACATATATTGATCAGAATATTAACGCTCCAAATGGCCTTCTGTACCTCAGTGCATCTCTAGGTAACATGTTTCAGGTGTAGCACTGAAACCTAAGGATTCCATGGCATCTGCTCTCTTCTGATATGTCTAAAATTCCTTTGTCTACAACCTAGAATGGGAGGCACTTGGGTAATGTGTCTACACTTTTATTCAAAACATTGTTATTAAGTGCCAAGTAGAATCTCGGAATGAACAAAACAAAATACCTGCTTTCATGTCTACTGGAGAAAATGGGCATAAAATAAAATAAAATGAAATTATTTTTAAAGGTTAAATTTGGTGTGCTACAAAATATATCTAAAATGCTAGATTTCATAGTCTTTTAGATAG